GCACGACTCACCAGCACGGCGGATCTCCCAGTGCCAGCAATGCCACCCGTTTAGGTGGTGGTCTGGAGGCTTTTCCTGTGACAAGTTTACTAAGCACCGCCTTGGAAGCGCCATGTGAAGCTACAAAGCTGGTAAAGACTCTGGAATGAGCGCTAGGGGAGCCACCCAGCTTCTGCCTGAGTAACAGGCTGGCCCTCACAGGAAGGCGCTGGGCAGGAGCCTCTGGTGTCTAGGGGAAGGCGTCTCTTAGCAGAGGGGTGCCAGCATGGAGCCCTGGAGTCTAGAGGGCAGGAGTTCGTCCCCCTCGTCTGAGCGCCCGACCACTCCATGGGGCCGTCACGTGCGTCAGTGTCCAGCGAGGGCCGCACGCGTGGTCCAAGAGTGTCAGCTGTTCTCACCCTCCCCTGCCCCTGTGCCTCCTCCTCTGACACCTGCACAGACAAGGTGGAAAGAGGACACCGTCTGCCACCCATCCAGTGCCGCACCTGTCAGTGGCGTCTCAAGCAGGAAAGTGATGACCGAGAGAGAAATGCAGCCGAGCATTTCCTGGGTGCGGAGAGAGCTGCTCCAATGTGTCCAGGAGGACAGCGCGGCATGGCCGGCAGTTCTTGCAAAAATGACTGGGTTCCTTTTCATCCTTTGGGACCCAGCCCCAATGTCACCTCCTGGGATAGGCCCTCCTGACCCTTACATTAGGGAAGGCAGCCCAGGTATCAGCTCGATAATGACAGCAGAACGTTGCATTCCACCTCCTGACAGCTGATGAGACGGGGCTGGTCCCATGTTCCCGGATGGAAACCGAGGCTAAGTAGGACTCAGCGGTGCCCCTGGGGCCATTCACTGCAGAGGTCTCGCCAGCTGCCAAGGCTGGGGGTCCTGCCCATCGTGGACACCGGGGTGTCACAGACCTCGCCAACTGCAAAACCACCTGGACTGCCCCCTCCGGAAGAACATCTGGCGTTGGCTGGATTTTCCCCTTCGCCCGGAATCCAGAGTGGAAGCAGGCTCGTTAGCAGCAGTGGTGGAAAAAAAGCTGGAGGCGTGACACGGTTACTGGCAGCTCTCAAACGGAACAGTCAAGCGCTAAGAGCACCATTCAGAGACCAAGCTGTGATTCATAGAATCCGGGTCAGTGTAAACGAGTGTTCCCTGAGGACAGCAGTCCTGTGTGTGAGCGCTGGCTTTGCCTGCGTGGGGAGGAGGGGGTGTCCCAGCACCCGGTGGCTGGCTGGCAGCCACAGCCAACGGCTGTCCCTGGTGAGTGTTAGAAAGGGGGAGCTCTGTAGTAAGTACCCCACACACGTGCTCACACACATGCTCGCACACACACATGCTCACACACACACATGCTTACACACATACACGCTCACACACACTCCCTGGCACACACCCATGCATACTTATTCACGACACATAGACTCACACACATGTTCACACATCCATGCACACATTCACACACGTTCACACACAAGCTCACACTCATACACATGCTCACACTCACACATGCTCACACACACGTTCACATACATGCTCACACTCATACATGCTCACACTCATACATGCGTATACTCACACCTGCTCACACTCACACCTGCTCACACACTCACATGGGCTCACACACGTGCTCACACTCACACATGCTCTCACACACACTGACACTGCCTGCCCCCCGTGCCTACCCTCTAGCATTTCCCACCTCCCGACTTCGGGAGGTTACTTGTCTCTAGGCTGTTTCTCACGCCCTAACCTGGGGGGTTGACTTGTCTCTGGTCTGTCTCCCCTCCTTGGGAATGTGTGCCCCGTGACAGTGTTCACGCTGAACCCCCAGTGCCTTTGTGGAATGAAGGAACGAATGGGCGAGCAGGGCCTGGGACCCTCCGTCACTCACACTGCCATGCAGAGGCCTGGATGACTTAGGGTGAAGATAGTATTGGTCAGGAAAAGACAGCGGCCATGTTGGTGAGGCCGGTCACTCGACAGATAACCGAAGACACCCACCCCCGAGCACTGAACCAGAGATGACTCATCCCCTATAAATGGATCGGGAGGGGTAAGCGTGGTGTGAATGGCTTAGCTGGTACCAGTTAGTGGTGATTCAGGCGGCCCTGCACTTGCCGGCAGCTGACAGGCCGCCCTGCCTCCGCTCAGCTGCCCCAGGCCCCTCATCCTCTGGGAGAGCGGGACAGAAGTGCCGTCGGATGAAGGGTCTGGTGCTGCAGCCAAGCCAAGACACTGTGTGTGTAGAAATAATGCGAGGCGTAGGGGACAGCCGGCACTCAGGTGTGCGGTTAACAGACAGGCTTTTTCTCTGCAAAGCGCGTATTTTGGTAGGATGGTTTTACCCCCTCGGTACCTGAAACATTCATCCGTAAGGCTTTTTTAGTTACATTTGCCTAGAGATGTAATGGCTTCACATCTTCTTAAGATGCTTAAATGTAGCAGCCGGAAAATGATGTTACAATAGTGTCTGTAACAGAAGCTTCTGCATACTTCTTGCCCATTGTGTTCTGCGTGTTGCCCTCTGGGGCTGAGGGAAATGTTAGCCATTCAGTGCTGGGGGCTGCCTCCTGGAGTAGTGAAGTGTGGTGGGACATTATCTCTGAAGCTTCTTACTTCCAAGTAGACCAAGCATTTCTGACTCAAGGGACAACCGCAGAGAGGCCACAGCGGGCTTTACGGCCTTCTCTCCCACTATCCCTGCTTTAAGTCAGGCGAGACATGGGCGCCAGTGGGCTCTCGCTTTGACTGTGTCTGAGGGCCTGTGATTGGTGGTTCACCCCAGCAGTGATGTCCCTGTGAACTTCCTGGCTATTGCTGAGTGGGCTGATTCTATAGGAAGCCCCCAAGTTACGAGCGCATTGCCTGTTTTAAAGTGCTTTGCCAAGTTGGTGTTTGTGAGTTCGGCCCTCAGGGCAGAGCTGTGCTTGGAAGCTCAGAGCAAGGCTGTCCCCCAGAAGGCAGAGCTAGGCCCAGTGAACTGCTGCTTTGCCCGGGGTCTAACCTGCAGGTGGGTAGGGCAGAGCCCAGACTTGGAGTGGGAAAAACCTAGGGTCCAATCTCTGTTCTAGCTGTGTGACTGTGGGGGGTATTACTTAACCTCTCTGAACCTGTTTCATTTTGGTGAAATGAGGGCTTCTGTATGTCCTTCGGGAGCCCTGGTGGTGCAGTGGTTAAGAGCTACATCTGCTAACCAAAAGGTCGGCAGTTCGAATCCACCAGCTGCTCCTTGGAAACCCTATGGGGCAGTTCTACTCTGTCCTATAGGGCCTGTTGCGAACATTAAACGAGACAATGCGGGACGCCTCCTGGCCTAGGGCCGGGTGTGCTATAGGAACAAACGCCAGCTCTGCCCTCCCTCTCTGGCCCTAGCTCTCATCGGCAGGAGTTATGACCCGCGGAGGGGCGCCCAGGGAGTGAGGCGTGTGGGTGGGCAGGGTGAAGGGAGGGCGTCAGAGCCCCCTGTACCCATCTCCCGTCCCCTCTGGGCAGCCACCTCCTGGTGACCTGAACCAGCCCAAGGTCATGTGACCACAGAGGACAGGCGATGGGGGAGAGGACGTGTGGGTGCTTAATCCCAGAGCATCGCAGGGAGGTAGCTGGGTTGGCTTGTCAGCAAAGCAGGCAGGTGAGCCCGCATCTGCCGCGGTGTTTTGCAGAATGACCCTCAAGAGCAGAGCTCTGCGTCCTGCTGTTGGCTACATAGGTCCAGTGACCAAACAAAAATTATGAAAGAGAATAAAGCTGTCCCCCAGAAGTTTATTAGAGTATGGATTTCTTTCTCTCTTCCTCAAAATGAAGATGGCTTTATTGATTGTTGTCAGTAGGTGCCATTGAGTCGATTCCGACTCATAGTGACCTCCTGTGACAGAGTGGAACTGCCCTGTAGGGTTGCCTAGGCTGTGTTGAGTATATTATAACATTCAGACCATAAAAGAAATAGCCTGCTTTTTAAAGTTTTCAGACAATTGTTGTTGTTGTTAGGTGCCGTCAAGTCGGTTCCGACTCATAGCAACCCTGTGCACCACAGAACGAAACCCTGCCCGGTCCTGCGCCATCCTCACAATCCTTGTTATGCTTGAGCCCACTGTTGCAGCCACTGTGTCAGTCCATCTCGTTGAGGGTCTTCCTCTCTTTCGCTGACCCTCTCCTTTACCAAGCGTGATGTCCTTCTCCAGGGACTGGTCCCTCCTGATAATATGTCCAAAGTATGTAAGACATAGTCTTGCCATCCTTCCTTCTAAGGAGCATTCTGGCTGTACTTCTTCCAAGACATTCAGACAATTCAAAAAGGGTAAAAAGAACAGAGGAAAAGTCACACCTTAGTCCCACGCCCCAGCGACTCCAGTGTTGACCCTGCGGCCTGTTTTCCTCCAGACACTTTCTGCGGGTGTGCACACCCATTTCCGCACCGGGAACAGGGCGAGCTCACGCTGTAGTGCGCTCCGACCATCATGCATTTAACCTCACCCCCTTTTTTTGGACACTTAGGATGCTTTCAGTCTTCATCACAGTAAATGCGCCGCGATGGATTGACTTTCCCTTTTCCAGAAATGGGCGTGGCCTTTCACAAAGTGCGTCTGCTGCCCCTTCATCTCTGGGGTCAGTTTGCTCTCTGGGAGATGTCCGCCAGCCCCGCTCCCAGGTGGTGGCCGTGCTGTGTGCTGTCGAGTCCGTTCTAACTCATGGTGACCCCATGTGACAGAGTAGGACCTCCCCATTGGGTTTCCTACGCTGTAATCTTTACGGGAGCAGATCGCTAGGTCTTTTCTCCCGTTGAGCCACTGGGTGGGTTCAAACCACCAGCTTTCAGCTAGTGGCCGTGAGCTTAACCGCTGTGCCACCAAGGTAGAGTTTCCAAATTCCGTACACCCTGGTCAGCATCATCTTATTTTGCCTTGAGCCTCTTTGCTGGGCGTCTCTCCACATGGCTCAGTTGAGTGATGAGGTTCCGCATGGTCCTGCTGAGTCTCACCTCGCCCCTTGTACTGCTTCCCACACAGGCCATGTTCGAGCTGGTCACCTCCGAAGCCTCCTACTACAAGAGCCTGAACCTGCTGGTGTCGCACTTTGTGGAGAATGAGCGGCTGAAGAAGATCCTGCACCCGTCAGAGGCTCACCTCCTGTTCTCCAACGTCCTGGATGTCACGGCCGTCAGCGAGCGGTAGGAGCACCGGCGCCCACCCCCGGCTCTGCGCCAGGCCTGGTGGGGTCCCTCTTCCTCCTCTTTCCTGCTGCAGCCAGTGAAGGGTGCACAGAGCTTGTCACACTGGTTTCTCTACATTTGTAGGTTTGGGATTTTCCACAATACAATATAAACAAATTACCATATACCAGTTACCATCGGAAACCCAGGTGGTGCAGTGGTTAAGAGCTTCGTCTGCTAACCAAAAGTTCGGCAGTTCGAATCCACCAGCCTCTCCTTGGAAACGCTATGGGGCAGTTCTACCCTGTCCCGTAGGGTCGCTGTGAGTCGGAATCGCCTCAACGGCAACAGGTTTGGTTTCTTTTTGCTTTGTTCAGTTGCCATGAAGTCGACTCCAACTCATGGCGACTCCACGTGTGTCAGAGTAGAACCGCTCTCTGTAGGGTTTTCAGTGGCTGATTTTTCAGGAGATCTTCCAGGGCACCTGTGGGTAGACTTGAACTTCCAGCCTTTCAGTTAGCAGCCAAGTGCTTTAACCATGTGCTCCGCCCAGAGACTCCAAACAAATAAATACATAAATCAAAAGACTGCCCCCCCCACCCCCAGCAGGGCAGTCCTTGGTGCCCCCTGGACAGGGTTTCGGTTTCCTCTCCATCGGCACCTACGTGCTCTGTCGTGTCCACGGAGAGCTGTGAACTGGGTCACCCTTCCCAGCTGGGGCTGGAGCAGCATTGAGTCGGGTATCATGACAGGGTCTCTCAGGCCTCATGACAGGGTCTCAAAGGCGTCCCTTTAAGCTGTCTTGATCCTGCCATCATAAAGCATGACCGCAGTGCCTACGAGGGGCCCAGGACCCCTGCAGGCAGAGCCCGGCGTGGTCCTGCCCTTCCCTCTCCTCCCAGATTGCGTTTGCAGTAGACTGGGGAGGTGGTTGTCGGCGCCGTGCTTGTATTTTAGCCTCTGTGAAATTTAGGAGGAGCTTCCATGGAGGAAGAACCAAACTAAACCAAACCCACTACGGTCAAGTTGGTTCCGACTCATAAAGACCCTTGAGGGCAGAGTAGAACTGCCCCGTAGGGTTTTCAAGGCTGAAATCTTTACGGAAGCAGACTTCCACATCTTTGTCCTGCGGAGAGGCTGATGGGTTTGAACCACCGAGCTTTTGGTTAGCAGCTGAGCAGTTAACCACTGCACCATCAGGGCTCCTTGGAGGAAGAACAGACACCTATTAATCTATGCTTGCAAAGAAGCGAACACCAACACTACAGGATGAAAGACCCAGATACCATTTCCGCTGCAGCTAAAAGTAGCACGTGGATCTGCTGGTGCACCCCGCGTTTTCACAGATAAGACCCAGACATGGCACAGGGGCAGCCCCTACCTGCCTAGCAGGGGAGCGCTCGACACCCTGCACGTGGTGCTCTGGGAGCTGCTCACTCCCCGTGGTGCCAGAGTGGGTCCTGAGGCCCCCTCTGCTTGGGCAGACCCTCCGCACGCTGACGCCTGACCCTTACGTTGGCAGCCTTGGTGGGTGGGCTGGGGGTGAGCACTGACCGCCCCGGCCTCTGCTGCTTCACCCTCCGTTGTGGCAACGCTGAAGACAGACCCCACAGGGGCTGGGCCTCCTTTTGTCTGTGCGTTTATTTATTTACCTCTCATTATGGAAAATCGCCAGCACCCCAAAGTAGAGAAACCCGTGTGACGAGCGAGTTGGGGCATCACCGCTGGCTTCGTCAGGGACCAGCAGCGGCCTGCTTCGTTCATCCCCTCCCTTCACCCCTGGCATCAAATCTCGCTTGTCCTTTCATTCCCTCTGAACACATCAGTATGTATCTAAAAGATAAGACCTCTCTTTTTTATACTCCTAATGCTGGTGGCACAGTGGTTACGTGCTAGGGCTATTAACCAAAAGGGCAGCAGTTCGAATCCACTAGCCGCTCCTTGGAAACCCTATGGGGCAGTTCTCCTCTGTCCTGTAGGGTCACTATGAGTCGGAATCGACTGGATGGCAGTGGGTTTTATTTTTGTCTTAATGCCGTTATCCAGGGATTCCCTGGGTGCTGCAAATGGTTAAGTGATGAACTACTGCCAGAAAGGTTGGCAGTTCAAATCCACCCAGAGAAACCTCAGAAGTAAGGCCTGGTGATCTGTCTGCTTTGAAAGGTCACAGCCTTGAAAACCCTATGAAGCAGTTCTACTCGCATGCATGGGGTCGCCATGAGCTGGAATCGACTCGACAGCAGCTAACGGCAGCAAGAAATGCTATTATCAGCCTAAAACAATGAACAGTAGTTCCTGAAAGTAGCCAAACACGCCATCAACGCACGGCCCCCAGTGGTCTCACATCGTGTCCCTTGGTTAGTCAGAGCCAGCCAGGCCCACGTGCTGCACTTGTTAATGTTCCTAGTCTCTCCATCTGTGGGTCCTGCCACCCAGGGACCCTTCACCCAAACTGCGCCCCCTGCAGGTTCCTCTTGGAGCTGGAGCACCGGATGGAGGAGAACATCGTCATCTCGGACGTGTGCGACATCGTGCGCTGCTATGCAGCCAACCACTTCTCGGTCTACATCACCTACGTCAGCAACCAGACCTACCAGGAGAGGGCGTACAAGCAGCTGCTGTGAGTGTGTCCTGTCGGGCAGGGGCTTTGTGGGGCAGAAGGGGCCACCGCCCAGGGTTTAGAAGCAGACAGTGTGGGGGATAGTACCAGCCCAAGCTTCTCTTGCACATTTCCATGGGTCCTGGTAGGTACCTCTTGCAGGGAGGTCTGGGGTCATCGGAGAAACATGAACTCAACTTAAGCCCAAGAGAGCCAGCCGGTAGTCCCCACTGGACTGTGATCAGAACTGCTGTGCAGAGTTCTGTGAGATTTAGAAAAGAGAGTTTGAGATCAAGGGGACAATCAAAGGCCCAGGAAACCAGGAAAGTGGGTTTGAGCTAAAAGCAAGGGCAGGGATGGTGGGGAGGAGTCTTTGGGTGTTCATCCAGCAACTCCCTCGCATTTATCACTCTTCTCCCCACTTGCTGAATGTTCTCTGGGGTCTCAGCTGATGAGCTCATTTTTGGTCACCTTGTCTCGTCTGAATTCTTCACATTAGTATGACATGCTTAAACGACAGGATTTTAACCAGTAATATGTTCTTAGCTCTACTTAGAAACATCAGACAACTTCCTGAGTAGTAACATCCTAAACATTATACTTCACTGAGCTTTAACCAAGCCCTGTAGCTAATTGTGGAAGTTTTAAGCTTGGGTATTTAGGGGTTCTGGTGATCTACTTTTGTTTTATGGAAATAGGAATTTCAGGTAATCGATTCTGTTTTTGAGACCAAGAGAAATCTGTCCAATCTAATTTGGTTCGTCCTCTGACCCCAACCACCCAGAGCAAGGTCAGCGCTCACAGGTTAAAGGGCACAGACCTCCTGACTACCCAGTCTGCCCAAGACCTCAGACATCAGCCACAAGCTTGGGAGTCCCCATGACACCCTCACTTCTGACCTGCTGGCTACAAATTTGGAGGTTTCCCGCTACCCCCGTAGGATGCCAACCATAAGCATGGGGGTACCCAGGGCCCTCTCACTTCTAACCTATTGGCTTCCACTCACAGAACTCAGGGAAGCAGTATACTTAGTATAGCCGAAAGGATGTAAATTAAGACATGCACAGGGAGAGATCTGGGAGGTCCCCCACGTGGAGCTTCCATGTCCCACAGGAAGCATCCACCCTCAGCTATGCATCAATGTCTTTCACCAACCAGGAAGCTCCTGGAGACTGAGTGTCCAGAGCTTTATACTGGGGTCTCATTATGTAGGCATAATTGATTGACTCATTGCCTACATGGTTGAACTCAACCTCCAGTCCCCCTCCTATGAGGTCCAACTGGCCTGGCCAGCCCCCACCCAAGTCACCTCATTAGCATAACCTGCAAGATAGGTGTGGTCTGGAGCCTCTCCATAAATAACAAAGACTCCAATCCATGGAGAAATTCCAAGGATCTCGAGATTACCTGAAGGAGTCCTGGTGGCACAGTGGTTCAGCCCTCAGCTGATAACCAAAAGGTTGGCAGTTCAAACCCACCAGTTGCTTTGTGAGAGAAAGACATGGCAATCTACTTTCATAGATTACAGCCTTGGAAACCCTTGGGCAGTTCTTCTCTGTCCTGTAGGGTTGCTATGAGTTGGAATTGACTCGACAGCAATGGGTTTGGTTTGGGTTGGGTTTTAGAGATTACCTAGGGAGCCCTGGTGGCACAAGCAGTTTGTGATCAGCTGCTGATCAAAAGGTTGGCAGTTCAAACCCACCCATCAGAGCCATGGAAGAAAGATCTGGCCATCTGCTTCCGTAAAGTTACAGCCAAGGAAACATTGTGGAGCAATTCTACTCTGTAACACAGGGGGTGGCCATGAGTTGGAAGCAACTCAGCTGCAACTGTTTTGGGTTTTTCTGGTTTAGAGATTACCTCCCCAGGGTAAAGAGCAAATTTTGTGGGTCAGGATAACTGTAAACCCCACAAAGACATTAAAAAGACAAGCATACAGGAAAACAGGGATCTATACATCATTGCAGTGCTCAGCAGCGCTCCTGCTGGGTGCATGCAGATTATCTGGACTTGAGTGAAAGGCAGAGGGGACATGTCCCCTGGTCATGTGCTTCTCGGGGCCTGAGGCTCATCTCCAGACATAGTTCTTCTCTCACCTGTGTCAGCACGGTGGACCCACCACAAGCCCCTCCTGGTGCGACCATCCATGCCTCTTGAAGTCGCCTCGGTTTTCCTGGTGATTGTTCCTGCCACCCATGGGTTTACCTTGCCACAGTTTCCTGCTGGGTAAAATCATATCATTGTGCATCTGATTCATAGACTTGGACACATAACCTATTCTTCTCAGTGTTCGTGTGCCAAGCATGTGAAGCCCCTATTGGGATTTGACGTACACCGTTGGTTTATTTTCCGTGAAAAAATAAAAGAAAGAAACTGGAGCATTTTCCGGCCCATGGGTTGTCTGGTCCCTACGAGGACCGTTGGGAGGCTGTCCACAGGGAGGTGGCTTCAAGGAAGGAGGCGCCTCCAATTCATGCCTCCCATGAGTGGGGGCGACCTACTCCGGTGTGTCTGTCCCCAGCCAGGAGAAGGCAGCTTTTCGGGAGCTGATCGCACAGCTGGAGCTCGACCCCAAGTGCAAGGGGCTGCCCTTCTCCTCCTTCCTGATCCTGCCCTTTCAGAGGATCACCCGCCTCAAGCTGCTGGTGCAGGTACTGCCTCTGCTGCCACCACACCGACGCGGCCAGAATGCACTTTTCTGCGCCAGATTGTTTCCTGTGGTCATTCCAGGTCTCTGTTAGCCTCTGGAGTCCTGGGTGGGACAGATGGTTAAGCAAGTGGCTGCTAACCAAAAGGTTGGAGGTTCAAGTTCACCCAGAGGTGCCTCAGAAGAAAGGCCTGATAATCTACTTCCGAAAAATTGGCCACTGAAAACCCTGTGGAGCACAGTTCTACTCTGACACCCATGGGGTCGTCATGAGTCAGAACTGACTTGATGGCAACTGGTTTGGTTTTGGTTTTTTATTAGCCTTCTAGGAAGTCTGTTTATCCAATAAGTAATAATTAAGCTCTGACTGTGTGTCAGACATGTTCTGGGCAGTGGGGACTCAGAGCCACATTCTGACCACACACAGCTGTGATGACAATGGAGTAGCAGGGGGTGACTGGCTGGCCACTGGCTGAGTGGGTGTCAGGAAAGAAGAGTGACATTTAGGCTGAGGCTTGGCTGACAGGAAGGTAGACGACAGGTGACCGGCCATGCGGCGAAGAGGGTGAGGAGGCATCTGGCTTGGCTGCAGGCAGAGGTGGGCATGTATGTGACACAGTTGTCAACAGGGTTACGGTCTGGAGGCCCCCGGGGTCGTGCAACCGAGGGACACCCAGCAGGCAGGAGGGTCTGGGCCCGAGAGTCATCCAGCTGTCCAGCCAAGTGGGAATGGCCTTTGGTGGCGCTCAGTAGGCGGAGCTCTTCAGTGCAGCCACCACCCACCGCAGCAGGGGCAGGGGGCGGGGGGCAGAAACGCACCCAGACCTTGCTACCTGACAGAAGCAGGTCATAAAATGTGGAAACCATACAAAGTTTGGAAGAGTCTTGCAAAAATTGCAATTTTTAGGTGATGGCAATTTTGAACGTAATTTTTTTTTCCGAAGCAAAGAAAAGACATTTTGATCAATAAGACTGAAGTGACAAAGCCTCGGGGTCATTATGTCTGGGCTTAACTTGGTAACAGCTGGAGTGGAGGGCAGGGGAGACCCTGCACCCACCAGAAACCTTCCTTGGGAAAGGGCTGGCCCTGCTTGCCAGTGACAGGTCCCTCTCCGCTGGATGCCGCCTGCCATCCCCCCAGCACGGAGTTGCCACTTTTGCTTGCATCTCCGAGGAACTGGGAGACCACGGGCTTTGGCTTAAGATAGCGGAGAAAGCAGTGACCCTTGTGGTTAATCCTCATGAACAATGCCAACCCGTGGTCATCATTTTACAGCCTGGCGAGGCTTTGGGTCCAGATGCTTGGCCCTCTGGTCACCAGAGATAAGGTGCTTTGTGTGTGTATGTCACAGCAACGTGAAGCTGTTCGGACTGGTGCAGCAGATAGGCTGCATTGTGGAAGGGAGGGGGAAGTTACAGAAATCATTGCAGCCTTTCCCTGTGCTCAGAACATTCTGAAGAGGGTGGAGGAGAGCTCCCAACGCGAGAGCACTGCCCTGGATGCCCACAAGGAGCTGGAAATGGTGAGTCATGCTTCCTGGTCCCGTGTCCCCAGTAAACCGTCCTCCTCTAGACCCACCTGCCCGTCCTGCTTCCCACATGCTAGTGTGTTCTTAGGAAATGCAAATTCTTTTTTTTTTTTCAATTGTACTCTAAGTAAAAGTTTACAGTTCATGTCAGTTTCTTACACACATTGCTATGTGACCCTAGCTGCTCTCCCTATAACGTGACAGCACACTCCTCCTTTCCACCCCAGATTTCCCGGGTCCATTCAACCAGCTCCTGTCCCTTTCTGCCTTCTCATCTCACCCCCGGACAGGAGCTGCCCATTTAGTCTCATGTATCTACTTGCGCTAAGAAGCACACTCTTCACGAGTATCATTTTATGTCCCATAGTCCAGTCTAATTGTTGTCTGAAGAGCTGGCTTCGGGAATGGTTTCAGTTATGGGCTGACGAGAGTCTGGGGGCCTTGTCTTCTGGGATCTCTCCAGTCTCAGTCAGACCATTAAGTTTTGTCTTTTTACTAGAATTTGAGTTCTGCACCCCACCTTTCTCCTGCTCCATCAGGGACTCTCTGTTGTGTTCCCCGTCAGGGCAATCATTGGTGGTAGCCTGGCACCATCTAGTTCTTCTGGTCTCAGGCTGATGGAGTCTCTGGTTTATGTGGCCCTTTCTGTGAAAATTCATTTTAATATTTGCTTTTGCAATCCAGAAAAGTCACTGGGGCAAAAAAATATGCCAGGTGTGGCTTAAACAGAGCGCCAGCTTCCGTCTCCACCCCATCTGTTAATGCCCCCAGGTGGGCAGCAGTGACGGTGTGGCACTTCTTCTTTGCTGCCATCCACAGTCCCCATGTCTGCTGATGCTCACTGCAGATGTCTGGAGCCCAGGGAGACCTTACATTTGTCCTTGCCTGTCTCCCTGAGTCAGAAGCAGTCATGCCCACTTCATGCAGGCGCCTCGAGCAAGGCTGCTTCTGGCTCTTTGAGCCCCTGACGCCTCTCTCTGCCCCACGCCCTCTCCCGCCACATCTCCCCCCCCCCAACCCCTCCACCCGGAGGTGTGAGCGGCTCACTGGCACTGCCCCTTCCTGACCACGGTCTCCGCGGAAGCGGTTCCTCCTGGAGCCCACAGCAGAGCGGGGTTGTGCGGGAGGACCGTGAACACGCTGTGTCCCCAGGTGCTCGGCTAACTCAGGCCCTTCTTTCTTGTCTTCAAGTGCTGTCTTGTGCGTCGGGCTCCTGTGTTCGCTGGCCTAAGAGCCAGGCCTGACAGCTGTACTGGGGTGGCCCCATCATGCTGGTGACCCGGAGCGGAGGCTGTGGGTGTCGTGAGGTCCTTTCCACTCCTTTGTCCCCAGCAGCAGCTTAGTAAAAGGTCTGAGCCACGTGGTGCCACGAGGGCTCCTTGACTTCACCTCCGTGCAGGCTTCTCCCTGCCTCGTGCCCCCTTGTGTCCCTGATCCAGACCCCTTGGGTGCTGAAATCCTTTTCCCCGCTTGGAGCATCAGGGAGAACGCCCCCATGTCCTGTCAGGTAAAGACTGGACCTTGAGGGCCACCCAAATGGCCGGTCAGGGTGGTCAGTGGCCTGTGATCGGCCACAGTTTTGGGGACTTCCGCCCACCCCAGAGGCGGGGCGTCCCTGTCACCTTGTGGGCAGCCGGCCACACTGGGCCACAGAAGGCGAGACCAGAGACCACTGTGGCTGTTGGAGGCCGCAGGCCTCAAAGGTCCCTCCTTGCAGTCAGCCCGGGGCCAGGTGTGCTTTTTCTGTTTTTAAGTTCTTTTCTGCATTAATCCCCCTTTTTTTGCCATTTAGTGAAAAGTATACTCTGTTTCTCATAGTTTACTATATTTTAAAAAAAAAAAAGCTTTTTTTTCTAATTTATGAAAGTAATTGCTCAAAAAATTTGAGAAAATGCTGATAAGTAAAAAGAAGACAATGAAGAAACAAGCCCACTGCTGACATGGTGCGCTTGCTCTTCCAGAACTTTCTAAACAGATGGGACACATACGACTGTGTTCTTGGCACAAAGGGTTTGCAGTTTATAAGCCAGCTTTGCTCTTCATTTTAGTGCATGTAAAGTTATTGCATTTTTTAATGGTTGCAGAGTCCTCAGTTATCTGGATACATTATTATTTAGCCAATCCCAGTTGATGGACCTTTAGGTTGATGATAGTTTTTCCCATTTCTAAACAACACTGAAGTGAACATCCTCATACATACATCTTTAGGCATTTTATTCCTCCCAAATACTTACTGAAGGGGGAGCCCTGGTGGCAAAGTGGGTAATTGCTTGGCTGCTAAGCAAAAGGTCAGCGGCTCAAACCCACCAGCCGCTCCGTGGGAGAAAGATGTGGCGGTCTGCTTCCATGAAGATTACAGCCTTGGAAACCCTCTGGGGCAGTTCTACTCTGTCCCGTAGGCTTGCTATGAGTCAGAATCGACTCCATGACAACAGGTTTGGGTTGGTTTTTTTTTTTTTGTTTTTTTTTAATACGAACTGAGGGCCTGCTGTGTGCCAGCCTCTGTCCTCCCCCGCATGATCCAGCATGCAATGCAAAGGAAATGATTAGACCTCTTGGCACCTAGGTTGTCTCCAGGAAGGCTAGGGGAAACTGTACTCCCACCCACAGTGTGAGAGGGGGCCTGCCGCCCGCACCCTGACCAGCCTGGAGTCTTCTCAGCCTGTCTGACCTAAGAGAGCCTTTTTGTTTTAATTTGCGTTTCTTAGATTACTGGAAGGGTTGGGCATCTTTGAATGGTCAGGTTCGAACCCCTGCTGAGAATTTGCGTTTCCACCCCAGATATACTGAATCAGAATCTACATTTTTAACAAGCTCCACAAGTGATTCTTATGTATAACTTCCTTCGCACGAACTGGTTCGAAGCCCTGGTTTTCTGGCGCTTGCCTCCCAGGAAGGGCCAGGTACTAACCTGCCGCACCACAGCTGAGAGCCGTAATTAACAGCCTGCAGGTTTTCCCACGTACCTTTGCTCCAGAAGGTGCTAGAGGACGGAGCTCCAGCCCAATAGAGCCAATTGGCCACGGCTGCCCAGCACAGCGCGCCAGGGACACTGGCCAAGGGTGGCCTGACGCATCCTCCTTCTCGTCCCAGGTAGTGAAGGCGTGCAACGAGGGCGTCAGGAAAATGAGCCGCACGGAGCAGATGATCAGCATCCAGAAGAAGATGGAGTTTAAGATCAAGGTGTGTCTGAGCCCGCAGCATAGGCAGCCCCAGGGCAGTTGGCTGGATGTGGGTCACCGGCTGAGTTTGAAGCATGGACCCCTCCTTCAGGCTCGGCTCAGTGTCACCACCGCTAAGGGACCTTCCCGGGCCTCCCCAGCTGAGGTGGCCCTGCCACCATGCTCCATCTCTTCTGAGCCAGGTGTGCGATGCCTGCCTGGGCCTGCAGCCTGCCCTGCCATTTACGGCTGTGTGGCCTGAGCTGTTGGCTTGCATGGAGCACCAAGTATGGGGCAGTGACTATTCCAGGGGTCCTTAAATTGGGGGAATCACAGGCCCCTCTGAAAATCTGATGGAACTTACTGACCTTATCTCCTAAACTTTACGTGAACCTTGAGGCGTCAGCAAGCCCCTGAGGTCCCCTAGGGCCTGGCCTCTGGTGACTTGGGTACAACAGTCACGGGGCCCAACCGCAGTTCCCCAAGGCTACTGCTGGTTTGGGAGCTGAGCCCCACTCTAGGGTGCAGACACAGCCTTCCAGCCCCCTCCCACGAGCTGACCACCAGGTGCCAAGAGTCCAGACAAGCAGCAGCCCTGCCCCGCCAGTACCCATGGGTTCTGGGCCCTGCGTCTGCCCAGGACTGCCCCCCGAGTACCCATGGGTTCTGGGCTCTGCGTCTGCCCAGGACTGCCCCCCAGTACCAGTGGGTTCTCGGCCTGGCAGGCTCGCTGGGGGTGGCTTGGTGGGGACCTGCAGCCCCGTGCTGACACCGCATCACCCCCCAGTCAGTGCCCATCATCTCGCACTCCCGCTGGCTGCTGAAGCAGGGTGAGCTGCAACAGATGTCGGGCCCCAAGACTTCCCGTACCCTGCGGACCAAGAAGCTCTTCCGGGAGATTTACCTCTTCCTCTTCAATGACCTGCTGGTTATCTGCCGCCAGATACCCGGGTGAGTCGGGCCAGGCGGCCTCACTAGTCTGTCCTGAGGCCGAGCGGAGCCTCAGAGACCTGGGAGTCGGGATGCCATACAGATCAGCAGAAGCACGACCGCTCATGATGCCGCCTCCTTCCCCCGCGCACCACATTCCCGGGCGGCACTGGGCAACTAGCGCTTCCAAGGAAGCTCCGCTTGACAGCGCGGGAGGCAGAGAGCTCAGGCTCTGGGTCAGACTTCAGGTCTGCTCTTTCCTGGCCTAGCTTTGGGCGGGTTCCTTGAATGTCCTGAGCCTCAGTCTCCCCTTTTGTAAAGTGGGGGCTTCACTTCTCCCATTGAGAGCCCAGCCCGGTGCCTGACCCACAGTGAGTGCTCAGCAGAGCGGCGTGGCGTTAAGGGCAGCCCCGCTAGCCAGTTGCTCCACGGGATGGGGCCTATTCTGCAGATGAAGGAGACAGGCATTCAGGTCAGGGGCTTCGAGAAGGACGTGAGTAGCAGGCTGATCTTGCTGGCAGGCTGGGGGTCTCCTGAGACGCCCCCCCCCCCCACAACCTGGACCTCCTCGGGACCAAATGCCTGTTCCACCACCTTGGTTCCAGAGACAAGTACCAAGTGTTCGACTCGGCCTCGCGGGGCCTGCTCCGCGTGGAGGAGCTGGAGGACCAGGGCCAGACACTGGCCAACGTGTTCATCCTGCGGCTGCTGGAGAATGCTGATGACCGGGAGGCCACCTACATGCTGAAGGCATCCTCCCAGTGAGTGCCGGGGATGTCTGGGCCCCACGTCACGTCTGCGTGACAGCTTGCCTGCCCACGGGCTCTGGGCAGAATGAGGCCCCACACACAGCCGTCCTGCCCGCCCCAGGCCCTGCGGGGAGGTTTCTGTCAGGGCTTTGCGTGCAGTTGGGACCTTGCTGGGTGGCTGCCCATTCCTGGGTGTGTATGTGTGTGTGTACACGTGCATGCGCTGTAGACCGGCAACTGCGTGTGCTTTGTGTTGCACGTTTTGCATGTGCCTGTGAGCATGTGTGTGGTGTGTGCGCGTGTGTGTGTTGCATGTGTGTGCACATGTGTGTGCGGTGCGTGTGTGTGTTGCATGTGTGTGCGCGCACGTGTGTGCAGTGCGTGTGTGTTGCATGTGTGTGCGCACGTGCATGTGTGTGCACGTGTGTGTGCACGTGTGTGCAGTGCGTGTGTGCATGTGCATATGTGCAAGTGCACATGCATGCATTGCAAGTACACGCCTGCATGTGTTGTGCGTTACATGCGTACGTGTGTGCAGAGCATTTGTGTGCACATGTGTGTGTGTTCCCTCTGGGCTTCAAACTCCGGGTGAGGTGCTGAGTTGAGATGAGACATCCTGGAACCCTTGAGCCCAGCTGACTCACAGACCCCATTCCCGCCCCTCCTGCCCTCACCCCCTGGCCTTGGGGCCTTGAGCCATCACGTCATCTCCCTGAGCAGCCAGGACACTTGCCTGAAGTCCTAGGGCCCTTGTGGGGACAAGCACTATGACTGGGGAGAAGGGCTTCCTACCATGCCCATTGACAGCGTGCCTCCGGGAGCAGGGCAGGGCCCTCCTCACCATCCTCCCTCCCCTCAGGCACTTGCCCACTTTCCGGCCCCCTGCTCACCCAGGGGCCGCCTCCGCCGGGAGCCTGGGCTCCAGTCCCTCTGGGGGTGGGGTGACCTGAGCCTGGCTCGGCCCTGCCACGTCTGAGGGGCAGTGGCCTCCGTGAGCTGGCCACAGCATCCTCTTTGTGGGTCAGCTGTGGGGACGCATGGGGGAGTCGCCCTGCCTGGCTGACTCTTAGAAAGCGCTGTATGGGGAGACTCTGGGGGCCCCTCGACCTCCCGATGGTTTCCATGTCGCGTTAACCCTCGGCAGTCCATTTCTGCAGCACCCTCTGAGCCTCCCCGGTGTCGCACAGAGCAGTGCTCGGATACGTGGAAGGGGACTGGTGGGCGGGTGCTGGGCAGCCCCACGTGTGTCAGGAGCCACCGCTTTGTGGCTGGGGCACAGCCTCCTTCCCGTTGCAGGAGCGAGATGAAGCGCTGGATGACTTCTTTGGCCCCCAACCGGAGGACCAAGTTTGTCTCCCTCACATCCCGGATGCTGGGTAAGCCACCCTCTAGGGAGGCCGCTGGGGATGGGGCCACTGCCCTCACCCCGGCAGCTGGGGGCTTTGCCTGCTGGGGCTCTGCTAATAAGGGAGTGCTTTGGGGGCCTGTTGTCACCACAGTGGCCTCCAGGAAGCCCGCTTTGGGTGGCCTGGGTCCAGTGTGGGCACTAGCAGCTCAGCCCTGGTGGGAGCGTGGGTGGCCCGAGCCCTGGGGACACGTGGATAGTTACTGAGATAAAAGGCACTAGGTCTCGTGTGATAGGCCCCACGTGGAACCCTAGAGGCTGCTAGAGAATGTGCCCGGGGGTTTGGGCCCAGAAGGCAAATCTCGGTGTCCCCCTGGGGTTGCCGGTTGTCTGAAAAGCTTGTGAATTATAAATGGGCACAGACCCACCAGTGGGGACGGTGTTGACCCTAACCACCCTCACCTTTTCCCAACCATCCCACGCCGCCTCCTAGCCACGTGCCAGGTACAGGAAGTCCAGAAAAGAGCCCCTGGAGGCATGGCCAGCCCTCGGCCCGGGTATTGTTTCCCGAGAGCTCCTGGCTGTTCCCATAGCGTTTTGCTTGGACCCAAACCCTCTTCTGCCTCCAGTGAACCCTCTGTGGGTTGCGGCAGGAGTTTGTGCTGCTAGTTCGCCTGCCGGCAGTGCTGTCCCTGTTAACCACGGGTGGGTGTTGTCCCGGGTGCATGGGAAAGGGCAGGGCAGGTGGCAGCATGACAAGGCTGTGTCTCTGCCCCTCCCCTGCCCTGTCAGACTGTCCCCAGGTACAGTGCGTGCACCCGTATGTGGCCCAGCAGCCAGATGAGCTGACGCTGGAGCTGGCTGACATCCTGAACATCCTGGACAAGACTGAGGACGGTGAGGCCTGGGCATCGTCCACGTACCCCCAGGGGACTCTGCACTGGGCCCCCCAGCCACAGGGACGAGGCAGGAGGTGGGCTGGGCCCCATGTGGAAGCACAGACCAGTTCTGGGGGTTGCCTGAGTCCGGCTGGCCGGTGGGCAGGGAGAGCCAGCTCTGTCTCAGTTCTGCTCGTTGGGCTGTGCAGCCTGAACACTCCCATTCTGGTTTCCTCGGACCTTTTCTCAGAACCGGGGCCTGGCTGGACCTCACATGGGCCTTGAGGTCCCTCCATCCCATCAGCACTGGGCTCACCAGAGCGGCCACTCCGTGTCTCTTCCCTCCTGCAGACCTGGGGGAAGACGACCAGGAACAGCACTTTTGCACCCTGACCTTGACCCTGACCTAAACCCTATATTTGCAACAAGCTCCTCATGAGCCACCAGGCCTGGAGCCCCAAGCTGACCACCTGGACCTCGGTGGCGGGGGAGTGAGGGGGCGGGGGGACTCAGGGAGGACCTGCCCGACAGCAGGGTGACAGTGGCAGTCCAGGCCACATAGCCCCATGGTCATCTCCCACCCCCACTGGCTCCTCGGATGCCTCGCTTTTTGGGGTGGCACTTGGGGCCTCCTGGCCCGATATGGAGGCAGGCAAGGTTGCAGAAGTCTCCAGAGTGGGTTACAAAGTCAGTAGGTTTGGGAAGCACCGTGTGGCTGCTTTCATCGCAGTTGCCGTCCTCGCTGGCTGTCCTGCACACACTCATGCCTCCTGCGAGGGTGCTGGGGGTGGCGTGGGGCGTCGCCCACTTTCTGCAGGACAATCCCAACCCGAGGGTCTCGGCAGGGGTTCATGGAGCAGGTGCCTTTTGGGAAAGGCTGGCTGGGCTCTGCCGTCTGGGCCACCTCTGCTCCCAGGAGGGATGGGAACACTGGCCCTGGTGCCGCCCGCGGGAGGTCCTGACACCCCTACTCCCCGCAGGGTGGATCTTCGGCGAGCGGCTGCACGACCAGGAGAGAGGCTGGTTCCCCAGCTCCACGACCGAGGAGATCTTGAACCCCAAGATCCGGGCACAGAACCTCAAAGAATGTTTCCGTGTCCACAAGATGGAAGACCCTCAGCGCAGCCAGAATAAGGACCGCAGGAAGCTGGGCAGCCGGAATCGGCAGTGACCCCCAGCCCGGCGACCAGCCCGGCGGCGGGTGGGCAGGCAGGAGCAGGGCTGGCGGGCACACAGGAGATGGTGGAGGGGCTCCAGGGGAGGACGAGCCACACCCCGCTGGCAGCGGGCTGTGACTCCAGTGCCCGTGAGGGAGCCCTTGCTCGCTACTCTGTGCATTGTAAAGGAGAAAGCGAATTTTAAACAATATTACACCGCCTCTCTCTCCTGTCCCTTAGAGGGCCTGAAAAGGGACTGGCATGCTCTGGGGGCCCTCCCAGGAAGGTGGCCGAGGGCAGGCAGAAGGTGACAAATGCTGTGGTCCCCTGCATGTGTTCCTCTCTGCCTCGGGAGCCAGGTGTGCAGATGGACTGCCTTTTCCTGACGGACCTTGGTGAGCAGCCCTTGGTCTGCAGTGCACGGGACTGAGAGACCAGCCGCCTCTGTCTGCCCCTCCCCAAGCCTCAGCCAGCCTTGGCTGCTTGGCCAGGTCCTCATGTCAGGCCGACCAGAGCTTGGTCGAGGCCTGTGCCACCTCCAGCTGCCTGATGGGCAAGATGTACTATGTGTCTTCTGACCCCTTCAGGAGCCCAGGCATTTTAAGGAATGAACTGGTCACTGCATCCTGTATTGGTTATGATTATGAGAGAATCAAATCTCAGTTTTGGCTGCAATAAAAGAAGCATCATGTATAAAATAAAGGAGGTGAAGTTCTGCTCTTTATTGTCCTGGCACACACAGGAATGAGGTGTTGGGTTCAGGACAAGGAGAGGGGAGCACCCTTCAAGGCCAGTGGAAGAGGTGTGTCTCGAAGGAGTGGCTTGAAGTGCTTCTAGTGGAAGAGGGAGCAGCCAGGTCCAGGCTTCCAGATGGATGAATGGATGGATGGATGATGGATGGATGGATAGATGAATGGATGGATGGATGGATGATGGGTGGATGGATGGATGGCTGATGGGTGGAAGGAAGGATGGATGGATGATGGGTGGAAGGAGGGATGGATGGATGATGGGTGGAAGGAGGGATGGATGGATGATGGGTGGAAGGATGGATGGATGGATGATGGGTGGATAGATGGATGGATGGATGGATGATGGGTGGATGGATGGATAGATGGATGGATGATGGGTGGGGTGGGAGTGGATTTGGGCCTTAGCATGTGGAAGGACTCCAGAAACCAAAGAGGCTGTTGGAAGAGTTGGCAGCATCCTTCTGGAGTGGAAGTGAGGACACAGAGGCTGGAAGACCATTGAGGGACTAGGTGTCAGGTAGGGGGTTGTACCACAGTGAGCTGACCACCAGGGGTGGGGCTTGGTGTCCTTCCTGGCCAGCTGCTGTCCTCAGGTCATTCTTCCTGATGTCAGTGGTGGCCAAGTTACCCAGATGCTGCAAGCCCCTGCCCCCAGCACAGAGGTCCCTCAGCCTCCTGAGTTTCTGTCCCCCAAGCCTGAGGAACCCAAGTCTGACTGCATCCTTGCCCACCTGGGCCCAGGCTCTTTCTGCCAGGCCACGCCTTCTTCCATGCAGCACGGGCCTGGGATTAGGCGCAGCGATTTAGACCATGTGGGACTTTGTATATCTCCCCACAGGCCACAGCGGTGGATCGTGGATCCTCAAACCCTTTGAGAATGGGATGAACCCCTGGAAGGACACATGCATTGCAACACTGGCTCAAAATGGGGGTGAGGGCCCCTGGTCCCAAAAGACAGGCTGATGCTCTTGGGGCCTCTGTGCGGCACCCCCGGGGTGGGGGGGTACCTGCACCTCTGAGTCCCTCAAAAGTGGGGAGGGCACTTCTGAGCCCCATGCTGCTCAGGGGCCGTTGGTTGCGGCCCTTGACCCCACCCAGCCTTTCGTTCTGAAGCTGAGAAATGGCGTATTGAGTTAGACCATCTGCTCTAACGACGGCTTTGGCTACTGGAGGTTATGTGGAAGGAAATCTTGCCAACATTCTCATGGATGCCTGTCAGGTTGTAATAGTCCTCCATAAGCAGAAACCTTCAATCTATGATGTATTTTGGGGAGCTGCTGGTGTGGGGAGCTGGGAACGCTGACTTGATGGGACCTGTGCCCCCTATGTGTTTGAGAGTGCGTAGAGGACTACAGATGCTCGTTGACGGGGTCTAGGGGGAGAAAATGGGTGCAGGAGAAGGTGCAGTCAGGAGCTCATGGAAACCAAAGAGGCCAAATGAGTTACTAGAGACAATGGGAAACAGACAGGAAGAGGCAGGGGTGGAGGCAGGAAGGGAGGACACCCCCTCCTCCACCTACACCCCCACTAACAGGGTTTTCCATTAGCCCAAGATATGAAATCATCACCCATCTGGTTCAGGGTTTACAACAGTCCCTTTCCGGCCTCGAGATTCTGGCTTCTTCCCTGCTGTGCCAAGTGGCAGCCACTATTTTCAATCTCTTTTTTCCTAATTATAAAAGGAGATTCCTGGGAAGCATATGACAACTGATCAAAAGCCCAGGGCTTGTCCAGGACCAAGGCGCCGGGTAGGAAGAGATAGCCCCAGCGGTTCCTCCCTCCCTCAACCCAGGACACTCAAAGCCAGGTGAAATCCAGGAGAGGCCCTCTTGAAAAGGCATTTTGCTGTTTTCCCCTCAAGGAGCCTTACCCTGTGGAGCTGCCCCCTTGTCCCTGTTCAGGCAAAGCTCCTGTCAAATGCCACTGGAGCCCAGGCCGGCCAGGGGTAGGGGCCCGATGGCCGGCTCCTGGGGCTCCCAGGGGTAAAGGGTTCCCCGCAGACGGGCCATGGCCCCCAAAATAATCGGCCTCTGGTCCGGAGCCCCGACAGACGCCCACCCTCCATCTCTCAGCCCGGCCCAGGGCTCCATCCCACCTCCCCTGCCTCCGGTGTCCCCCTTCTCTCAGTTGGCCACTCTCTGGGTCCCTGGGCTGCCAGGGACCAAGTGGCAGTGGCAGGGCCTGGGGACTGCCATGCGGCCGGGCAGCCCTGCTCCAGGGCCCTGGCAGAGGCCGCGAGAACCCCCGTGCCCCTGGGGGCGCGGCCCACACGCGCTCCTGCACACCCGCGGCGCCCCGCGCTCAGGCCTGGCCCACAGGAACGCGCCCTGGCGCACGTGGACACACGTGTACTCTCCACCTGCCCACCCCGTGCCCCCGCATTTGGGCACCACACGCGGCATCCTTGCGCGCCGTTCCGCTCTCAGAGCACAGCTGCACTCACACCCCGTTGCAACACGTTCGCACAGGCGCGCGCACACACGAGCAGACACACGGGCGCAAGGTGGGTGCAGCGACTCGCGCAAGGCAGGGCGCGGCCCCTTTATTGGCTTCAGGAAGCGGAAAACTTCCTCAGCGCGACGACCACAAGTGCCAGCACCACGCAGGTGGCCAGCAGGGCGGCGATGACGATCGCGGCGATGGCACCTGGCCCCAGCGCGCCTGGAGGACGAAGAATCGGTCAAGCTGCTCCGCCCCCTCCCCGGGCCCCGCCCCTCCCCGGGCCCCGCCCCTCCCCGGGCCCCGCCCCTCCCTACCGCCGCCCCTCCCTACCGCCGCCCCTCCCTACCGCCGCCCTGGTCCAGCCGCTCTCGCGCGGTGCTGTCCTCCGGGCCTGGTGCGGCGGTGGCGGCCGGGTCACCGGTGGCCGCGGGCTCCCAGGCAGGGCTCGTGCTCTCAGCTGGGCCTTCTCCCGACGGCAACTCTGCGGGCTCGTTCCACAGCGTTGGCGCCTGTTCCTGCGGGCCCTCGGCTGCAAAGCCAAGGACAGGCGGTGGGACAAGAACACTGCCCCGCGGGTCACTGGCGGGGCGGGGGCAGCGCAGGTGGTGGGCTCTGGGGCTCCTCACAATGGTCCCATTTCACAGATGAGACAACTGATGCCAAGAAGCTGACCCCAGCCTGTGCGATGAGAGATGAGGGGCGATGGGGAGAGAGTGAAGGGACCAGCAGGCCCTGTCCGGTAAAAGCCAGAGAACGAGGGCTGGAAGCAGAGCTGCAGGGCAGAGGAGGACGAGGGGCGTGGCCTCACCCCCATCCCGAGCCCCACACCAGGAGCTGGGGCACTTCACCTCTCCTAGCAGAGCTCCATACCCCCATCTGAACTGTAGGTCAGATGGGGTAGTTCACCTGCGTGAGATGACACCTGCGAGAACCCACCCACCCCAGCAGGGCCTGAGGAAGAGCCTCTTAGAGGCTGGGAAGGTGCGGCCCTGCCAGCAAACATGGTCCCTGCCCACCAGGCCCCACGAGGCAGCACTGCTGCAGGGGATGGAAGGAGACATCCGCTCGCGACCCCAGGGGTCATCCTCCCTAGCCATGGTCAGCCACAGGACAAGGGACCCAGGGACCACACGCCCCCACGTGTCTGAGGCATTGAAGCTCCAGAGGCCCCTATCCTAAGAAACTGGGGAGCCCGCACTGCTGCCTTTGCCCCCAGACAGCAGGGCAGGTGGGCAGGGTGTCTGTGTTCTGTGAAGGGTGGCCCCAGGTGAAAGTCGGGAAGACCCACTGGGGAGGGTCAGTTAGCACTTCAGTCCCTGAGCAGCCTCCGCACCCCAGCCATTCTTTGTCCATGGGATTGGGGGTACCTGGGGCCCCAGAGAGCAGGAAGGAGACACTGTCAGGTCCCAGCAAGAACCACAGGCTGAGAGGCCTACGTAACAACCCCAGCTCCCACCTTGGCCCAAGCACCATCCCATTCAACCCCCTGCCCTTCACCCCACACCCTATCATGGAACCTGGCCTGAGGAGTCCCACAGAGCCACCCAAACCCTGGGCCCATCCGCCTTCCCAAACAACCAGATGGAGCCCCCAGAAACCAGTGAAGTTCAAGCCAGATGGAAGGTGGGCTCCAGACCTCTCCACCCCAGCCCTGACCATGGACATCACAGCTTCCGCAGGGTCAGGGCCGGCCAATGCCCTAATCCTGATTGTGACTCAGGGACACTCAGCCCCAAGCAGGTCCCTGGCATGGGCCAAGACACACCAGGTCTCTGACTCCTCCAGCTACTTGGCTGTAGGAAATGCCATTATCCCTGTTGGAGAGAAAACCAGGGCTCTGGTTAAGAGAAGGGAGGCCTCAGAGGCGACTGCCGGTGGTAGGGTCTGCAGCCCCTGACGATGCTGTCACAGGTCATACTTCCCTGGAAACTTCCAGGGCCAATGTGGGTCTGGCAGGCCTTCCGGTCCCTTGGCCACTTTCTTCCCTGCAGGCTCCCTCCCTGTCACGGATTGAATTATGTCCCCCCAAAAATGTGTGTATCAATTTGTCTGGGGAAATACTGGGTCATGACTCCCAGTATTGTGTGGTTGTCCTCCATTCTGTGATTGTAATTTTATGTTAAAGAGGATTAGGGTGGGATTGTACAGCACCCTAACTAAGGTCACATCCCCAATCCAATGTAAAGGGAGTTTCCCTGGGGTGTGGCCTGCACCACCTTTTATCTTACAAGAGATAAAAGGAAAGGGAAGCAAGCAGAGAGTTGGGGACCACGTACTATCAAGAAAGCAGCACCAGGAGCAGGGCACATCTTTTGGATCCAGGGTCCCTGGATGGAGAAGCTCCTGGTCCGGGGGGAGATTGAGGAGAAGGCCAACAGAAAGAGAAAGCCTTCCCCTGGAGCTGACGCCCTGAATTTGGACTTCTAGCCTACTAGACTGTGAGAATTTATCTTTGTTAGTTAAAGCCATCCACTTGTGGTACTTCTGTTATAGCAGCACTAGATGACTAAGACACTCCCTGAGAGCAGGGGCCCAGAGACAAGCCAGACCTCTGCCCTTTTCTGCGGTCACCCCTCCTGAAGGGGGCGTCCTGAGGAGATAGGGGCTTCTGGGACTTTCCTGCCAACAGGGCCCACCCTGGGCAAATCCACCACTTGCGGCCCAGGGCTCCACCGCTCTCCGGGCTCCACCCCATAATTCAAACCAAACCCAAATTCAGGGACAGTCAGAAAATCACAGCACTCTTCAAAAATGTCAAGGTCACAAACAGCCAAGTAAGGTCGAGGAATGCTCCAGATGAGAGACTAAGGAGACACAACCACGAAGTGCAATGCATGTTGCTGGGTGGGGGGACACTGCTGTGAAAGGCGTTGTGGGATGAATGGGTGAACTTTGAAGAAGGTTGTAGCTTAGACAACAGTGCTGTATCAGTGTTAACGTCCTGGTTTTGTTAACTGACCGTTACCTAAGAGAATGCCTTCTTGGGAGTATCTAGGGGCGAAGGGGCCTGATGTCTGCAACTTACTCTCAAATGGTTCAGCATTTAGACAGACGAGAGAGAGAGAGAGAGAGAGAGAGAGAGAGAGAGAGAAGGGAGGTGCACAGGTGGCTGTTGTCCACCGCTCGTCTGTCAGTTTGTCCTGCTGTGGTGGCTTGCAGATTGCTGTGATGCTGGAAGCTAGGCCACTTATTTCAAACACTAGCAGGCTCACCCATGGTGGACAGGTTTCAGCAACACAGATGGTTGTTTTTGTTGTTGTCAGGTGCCGTCCAGTCAGTTCTGACTCATAGCGACCCTGTGTATAACAGAACGGAACACTGCCCGGTCCTGCACGAGCCTCACAATACTTATTATGCTTGAGCCCATGGTTGCAGCCACTGTGTTAGTCCATCTTGTTGAGGGTCTTCCTCTTTTTCACTGACCCTCTACTTTACCATGCATGATGTCCTTCTCCAGGGACAGGTCCCTCCTGATAACATGTCCAAAGTATGTGAGATGAAGTCTCGCCATCCTCACTTCTAAGGAGCGTTCTGGCTGTACTTCTTCCAAGACAGATTTGTTTGTTCTTCTAGCAGTCCATGCTATATTCAATATTCTTCACCAACACCATAATTCAAAGGCATCAATTCTTCTTCAGTCTTCCTTATTCACTGTCCAGCTTTCACATGCATATGAGGGAGGTGATTGAAAATACCGTGGCTTGGGTCAGGTGCGCCTTAGTCTTTAAAGTGACATCTTTGCTTTTTAACATTTTAAAGAGGTCTTTTGCAGCAGATTTGCCCAATGCAATGTGTCCTCTGATTTCCTGCCTGCTGTTTCTATGGATGTTGATTGTGGCTCCAAGTAAAATGAAATCCTAGACAACTTCAATCTTTTCTCCGTTTATTATGATGTGGCTTATTGGTCCAGTTGTGAGGATTTTTGTTTTCTTTATGTTGAGGTGTAATCCATACTGAAGGCTGTGGTCTCTGATCTTCATCAGTAAGTGCT